ACCCTCATGTTCTACAGCTACTACCCTCAACATCTACCACCACTACCCTCATGTTCTACAGTTACTACCCTCAACATCTACAACCACTACCCGCAACATCTACCACCACTACCCTCAACATCTACCACCACTACCGTCAACATCTACCACCACTACCCTCATCTTCTACAGTCACTACCCTTAACATCTACCACCACTACCCTCAACATCTACCACCATTACCCTCATCTTCTACACCTACTACCCTCAACATCTACCACCACTGCCCTCATCTTCTACAGCTTTTATCCTCAACATCTACCACCACTACCCTTATGTTCTACACCTACTACCCTCAACATCTACCACCACTACCCTCATGTTCTACAGCTACTGCCCTCAACATCTACCACCACTACCCACAACATCTACCACCACTACCCTCAACATCTACCACCACTTCCCTAATGTTCTACAGCCACCACCCTCAACATCTACCACCACTACCCTCATGTTCTACAGCTACTACCCTCAACATCTACCACCACTACCCACAACATCTACCACCACTACCCACAACATCTATCACCACTACCCTCAACATCTACCACCACTACCCTCATGTTCTACAGCTAGTACCCTCAACATCTACCACCACTACCCTCATGTTCTACAGCTAGTACCCTCAACATCTACCACCACTACCCTCAACATCTACCACCACTACCCGCAACATCTACCACCACTACCCTCAACATCTACCACCACTGCCCTCAACATCTACCACCACTACTCTCAACATCTACCACCACTACCCTCATCTTCTACAGTCACTACCCTTAACATCTATCACCACTACCCTCAACATCTACCACCAGTACCCTCATCTTCTACACCTACTACCCTCAACATCTACCACCAATGCCCTCATCTTCTACACCTACTACCCTCAACATTTACCACCATTACCCTCATGTTCTACAGCTACTACCCTCAACATCTACCACCACTACCCTCAACATCTACCACCATTACCCTCATGTTCTACAGCTACTACCCTCAACATCTACCACCACTACCCTCAACATCTACCACCACTACCCTCAACATCTACCACCACTACCCTCAACATCTACCACCACTACCCTCAACATCTACCACCAATGCCCTCATCTTCTACACCTACTAACCCTCAACATCTACCACCATTACCCTCATGTTCTACAGCTACTACCCTCAACATCTACCACCACTACCCTCAACATCTACCACCACTACCCTCAACATCTACCACCACAATGCTCAACTTTTGCTCCGGCAGTCACAACCTCTCAAACTTCACACAGGAGCAGTAACGTTGCACCGCCACAGTGAGAAAGCCGCACATCATTACGCCTAAAACCTGAGCCAGAGAATTTTCACCTCACTCCGAGTCTGACATTTGGTAGTCGCTCGCAACAAAGGTCGGACGTCCCTTTGACTTGCTCTCTCTGCATATATATCTAGTTATTGTACTTTTTCCTACCTTTGATGCATTTTTTCCCCGGGTTGGGTTTTTTTTATGCTCCGTAATTTTGCAACGTTTGATGATATTTTTCCTTCTCTTTTTATGTGTATTGCTCTGACTTTTGATAGTTATGTTGATCTGGTATTTCTGAAACTTTCTTTGCAGTTAAATTTTCTGCATATGTGTGTGTGTATGTGTGTGTGTGTGTGTGTGTGTGTGTGTGTGTGTGTGTGTGTGTGTACGCCGCGCACCATCATTACGACTTTAACATCATCAAAAGAGGGTTCATGAATACATAAGCAGCTTTAAAAACTCTTCAATTTTGAGAAATTATTTTAAACATCATCGTAGTAATGCGAAGTGTTTTGAATTTACAAATTAAATCATTAATTTTTAACTCAAAACTCGCATTTAAGAAATGTAATTTTGTTTAAGGAATTCTGGGTCACCAATGAAATCTGGCTGAAAAATGAAACGAACGAGCCATATGAAATGAGCAAAGTAAAAACTGCGTAGTGCCTCTGAAGAAAGCTACTATTCATAAGGCAGCTAAACCAGTTCGAACACATTAATTTTCTTGCCATTTTCATTTGAGCTAAAGCTGCGACCTTCTGCAGCTAGGTTATAAAAGAGCTACAGTCAGCTCACTCCAAATATAGGAGCTACAGTCAACTTACTCCGAACAAAAGAGCTACAGTCAACTTATTCCAACAAAGGAGCTACAGTCAGACTTACTCCAAATACAGGAGCTACAGTCAGCTTATTCCGATCACAGGATCTACAGTCAGCTTACTAAAAACACAGGAGCTACAGTCAGCTGGCACTGACTAAAACACAGTTAACACTAGGACCTCAGTCACTTACTCCAGATAAGAGCTACATAGTTCTCCAATTCGGAGCTGTGTTAGCAAACACACGTAATATAGCTGTTTTCCCAGAACCCGGAGAAAGACTCCAATCGGTAATCACTTCCCAAACTACAGGAGCTATTATATTCCAAGGATCAGTAGTGTGGGTTAAGCACATGTGGACAGTTGGCCAGGCACTAAACAGCCTGTTGGTATAGACACTTTAATATAGTGCGACCAGGAAACGGAATATCCTTCAATATTTTTAGAGCAGGACAGTAAGTGTTTTAAGTACATGTCCCCACTAACGCCTTAGGACTGGGAAGTGGACGAATACCGAATGACCTCCATAGAAAGGAGTGGGAAGGTTTAAAACCCCATCCTAGGTGGATTAATGATGCAATTCCCATGAAAGATCGTCGCTTTTCCCTTCCTTGAAGGGATTGTTTATCCCAAGCCAAACCGTCAGTTTGCTTCAACCACAGCAGCATCTACAGTCAACTTACTCCACGGGAATATTTCGTTGCTCTGGGTCACTGTAAGTCAATGTTTTCCACGTCAACAAAAGCTGAAAAAATGAAATGAAAAAAAAAAAAACTTTAACGGAGGTATAATCTTCGCTATGTTTGCGAGCCTTGCGTCCTTGGTAATATATATATATATATATATATATATATATATATATATATATATATATTATATATATATATATATATATATATATATATATATATATATATATATATATATATATATATATTATATATATATAATTTAGGAAGTTTATTATTATATTATTATGAGAGTAGTTAGTAGTATTAAGTAGTAAGTAGTAGTATAGCTCTAGTAGTAGTAGTGGTAGTAGTAGTGTAATAACAGTAGTGATAGTGCTAATAGTATGTAAATTAAAAGGACACAAGTGCAACTGTGACATTTTACTTTGGCAACGTTTCGCTCTCCAGGAGCGAAACCTAGTAATAGTAGCAACAGTAGCAATAGTAGTAGCAGTAATGCATATTGAATAGGAAGTATTCAGCTGGTAGGTTTATAAAGTCCCTGGGGAATAAGGGGTAATCAGGTTCCATCAGAGGACGGGAAACTGCCACGGTGGCTGACGAAATGTGTTACTAGCGTATTAAGTTTAACTTCCTGTTGATCGTATTCGGATTATTATTATTATTATTATTATTATTATTATTATTATTATTATTATTATTATTATTATTATTATTATTATTATTATTGCAGCTCCAGGGTGATGCGAGGTAATCGGGTTAGATCAGAGGAACGGGAGGAAAACTTGAATTTCATGGATCAAGAGCCTTTAACCAACATTTAGGGACTCCTCACTGAATGAGGCTCGTCTTAAAAACTTGGTTCATCTTCACTACCAGTCTTGTGTCATATAACTGGATCATCATCCTTCATTCCATTTGTTTAACTTAACCAAGTTACCATGTACAAATTTGCAATTTTTATTAAATATTGTACCTAAAAATTTTGCATCAACGTAAATATATGTAATCTTTTATCCCTTCTGAAAAATCATTCAAATAAATTAAAAACTTTACTGGGACAAGTGCGTTACATGTCACATATGTGAGACTTTTTTTCTTTTTTAAACATAAAATCTCTATCCTTTGTAATAATTGGCCTTTTATTCCTATGTTTTGCAGTTTTCAAATTACCTTATTATGGAAAACCATCAAAGGCTTTCGAAAATCTGAATAAGTGCTATAATCATATAGTCCATTTCTTTCTTGAACAAATCCCTAGACTTTGTAATAACTTTTGAGATTTGACATATATTAACTTGTTTCCCAAACATCGAGGTGTTTCCTTGTTAGTACATCTTTTCAAAGTGTTTAATTAACGTGTTTCTCTTGGTTTTTCCAAAGCTTTTACAATTGTCAACGAAATAAGTCAATGGTTTAAAGGGTTTTCCTGTTACTAGTTTTTATAAATATTGCCACAGGGAGTGCTATTATTTTTTTTTTTTTGGTCGGCATTCACTAGTAATTTATTTACTTCCTCCATTACTTCAGTATCTTCTATTTCAACTAGCTGCATTAAAAGTGGGCTATTATTTATTTTTATATCCATTGGGGGCGCTAAATCCTCAGGGAATATACATGTAGGGAATGGAAAGTAATGTGGTTTGATCCGAGGACAGGTAAGGTAACCCCTAGTTCCTTAGACCAAGAACCCTTCAGTGCAAAGGTCTTACAAACAATCTCCATTCTTGTGCAACATAAAACGAGCCAGCAACCCTCATCTGTCTCTTCAGCGAAGGTGCATTAACGCTAGTGAAGGGATCCTGATCCAAAGAATTGGAGCCACTCTCTTTCTTGGATTAATCCTGATTACCTCCCATTCCTCACTTGTTGTACGTCCCCCAAGGATTTAGCTCTTCCCAATAAACAATAACAACCATAATAATAATAATAATAATAATAATAATAATAATAATAATAATAATAATAATAATAATAATAATAATTTATAATAATAATAATAATAATAAATTTATAATAATAATAATAATAAATTACTACTACTACTACTACTACTACTAATAACTACTAATAATAATAATAATAATAATAATAATAATAATAATAATAATAACAGCAACAATAATAACAACCTAACTTCAATGTCCTCAGGTTCACCGTCTGATTCTCTCTATGAGGAGTCCCGTATTTGAGGACCTGCTGCTCCTCAACCCGGCCAGTAAGAGTTGTGTGCTGCCCCTCAAGGATGACTCTCCCTGGGCCTTCCAGTGGCTCCTGAACCATATTTACACCGACAAGCATGAGATCGACAGCATGGAACTAGCCCTACAAATTCTGAGGTCAGTACCATTTTAGTAGCAGACAGTCCTTCACTTTTGCTAAGGCAAGTCAAATGGGCTACAGATAAAAGAGCCTTAAATAGTGATTATCTGACATAGATCTTTTTACTCCAATTGGTAGGTCCCCATTTTCTGTTTCAAGGTCAGAACCTATTACCTCCATTATTTTATATTTCATTCACTGCTGTTGTGCTGTGTTCTAATTATTATTTTATTAATAGAGAACGATTGAACTTAACAAAACCTAGCCTAAGATCTCAGTAACTTGTTCCGGTTTATAGCTTCTAAACTTGAAACTGCATAAAATATATATCACAAAAAAGCCACAAGAAAGCAAAAATTGTATTTATATATAGATTCGAAATAATATATTTCTAAAATTCATCCGAACACTAAAAAAACAGAAAAGTGTAATGTAAATGATAAACTTTATTTCTTTAACAATTCGTTACAATTCTTGAACTCCATTAGAGTATGCAGAGCACAAAAATTAGCAAAATTACTGGTGTTGTTCTTTGGTATTTTTATTTCCTTTATACCCAATTTAACCGAAGAAACTAGACTCAAAAAGAGACATCTTCTAAAATGAACATGAACTTCTACTCATTATTTCTCTTTTTTTTTTTTTTTTTTTTTTTTTTTTTTTTTTTTTTTTTTTTTTTTTTTTTTTTAGGGGATGTGAGAAAAGCGCTAAGCTTTTTCGGGTCATAGACCTGTTCGGGGGGGGAGGGGGAGTAGAAGATGTAATAAAGCAAGGAGACTGGGGGATAGTTATAATTTCTTGGGTCAAGAGCAATTCACTGGCATCAAGTCCACTCTCTTGATGCCAGGATATCAGACATAGAAAACAACTGTATGGTAGATGAAGGTTCATCTACCATATACACTTTTGTCAGCCCGAAGGAGAAGCGGTGGACCTGAGGGATACTCGCTGGGGTTATTATATTGCTTTCCGTTTTGATGTTAATTTTGCAGTTCAAGACATAGGAGACAGTATTCATTGGAAATATCGTAAGGAATGCGAATATTAAGATTTTTAACGCCAATCATTTGTCAGCTTTTGTTAATTAAATAAGCTGCTTCTCAATGCATGCAATGTTAAAGTCATATAACATATACCTGGACTGTTTTAGCTCCAGTTTGACGGAAGTAACTTGAATGAGTGAAAGCAATAAAAAGAATCACAATTCTTGAATCTTTTCCTCCAGTAATCTCTCAGACATGAGGACGATCAGCAGACATGCTTAAGAAATGAGACATTTAACTCACGTCCTTTAATTAAACGCTTGAAAAGTTTGTGAGGAGTTTGTCGGTGCAGCGGGTGCGGACGTGTTTTATGCTAATTCCACTTCCTTTGAAGTTAGAGTGCAATTATAACTTTTTATAAAGAGAGAGGCAGAACTAAAATATAGAATATTGAATCCCAGAAGCGCCACTGGAATTCGTTGTGAGCTGTTGTGAGCGGGTAAGCTTATTATTCTGTGGTGCTCACTGAGGGATAAATTAGACTTCTCAAAATCGATTTTAATTTCTACTTTTTTTTCATGCTGAACTTGTTTCTTACAGCTTGGCGGATAAGTACATGGTTGCCAGTGCATATGACACCTCCATTAGGGTAGGTATTATTATTAATATTATTGTGATTATATTATTATTATTATTATTATTATTATTATTATAATTATAATAATAATAATAATATTATAATATAATTATTAATTATTATTATTATTATTATTATTATTATTATTATTATTATTATAATTATATTATTATTATTATTATTATTATTATTATTATTATTATTATTATTATTATTATTTATTATTAATGTTATTATAAGTTGTGCGTGAGTAGTAGTAGGTCATATGAGTAGTAGTAGCAATAGTAGGTCATAGTAGTAGTAGCAGTAGTAGCAGTAGTAGGTCATGGTAGTAGTGGTAGCAGTAGTAGGTCATGGTAGTAGTAGTAGCAGTAGTAGGTCATGGTAGTAGTAGGTAGCAGTAGTAGGTCATGGTAGTAGTAGTAGCAGTTAGTAGGTCTCGTAGTAAGTAGCAGTAGTAGGTCATGGTAGTAGTGGTACAGTAGTAGGTCATGGTAGTAGTGGTAGCAGGAGTAGCATGGTAGTAGTTGTACGTATGGTCACAGTAGTGAATAGTAATCACAGAGCGTAGATGTGTACATTCAGAAGGATTAGGAGCAGTTAGGTCAATCGAAGAAAAGGAGGTGAGGGCCAAATTCTTTGGATCAAGAACTCTTCAACGGCATCAAGGAACCAACCCTGAGTAAGTTTAAAACTCTGCCATGGGAAGTTTACGGCGAGTTTAATGTAAGTTCACGGCTCAATTGACAAGAGTTAGGGCCCCACAAATTAGGCTGTGTAAATGTTTAGCGAGGCACAATCACTGTTCCGGCAGCGCGCGAGCTCCTTTAATGACAAGATAATATTAACCCCTTACAGATAGCTTGACAAACTGTTCCTGCTGGGAGGCGGTAGGACTATTGTACTACATAGTAGAATGTATTTTAAAGAAGCATGCATGATAAGTTAATTTTTATTTCTTTGTGTCATGTGTATACACGTTCTTATTTGCTGAAAATATTCATGAAATTATCCAGAATAAGTCTAATTGCATACAATGTTGAATTCTTTTGAAAGTGCCATATTACAGACATTATATGTTTCAATATTAACTTTGGATGTTTTTATGTATAAAAATACAATATAATTATATTTTACATGAAAATAAACATTGTAGTCGGTTCATTCCACAACTAGATAATAGCCTCGGGCGGATCGAAACCTAGTTTGGTTTTCTTACCAACATGTATCTACTAACTACGTTGGGAAAACAAATAATTTACATGTAGTGCTATTGGGTATTTCTCTGAAGTCTTCTCACATTTGCTTTTCAGTATCTCCAAACCGTAGTGAAACGTAACAACGTCCTCAAGATATACAACTATCTGGTCCATCTCTTTGCCGATAACGACTCCCTCCGGACGTTGTGCAAAGGGGTAAGGGTTCATTTAGGTGGGGAGAGCGTCAGCTGGGAATAGGAAAGGGTGATACAAGGGGAGAACTAAATAAAAAGGGAAAAAATGCAATTGATAATGACTAACGCTTGCATACATGTTAAATTCTGAGCAATCTGTTGCAAGTCTAGAGGAGCTTCAAATATGAGTTTTTTGTATGATTAATAGTTGAAGGGGATTAAGGAGGTGGTACGATGGACGCCTTAATGGTGCTGGGGATAAAACTTGGGATATATATTACGTAGGAATGTCGAGTGGAAGGGGAGGTAAGTAATACAAATGAAGACACTTTCACTTTTTTCCAATGTTATTAAATACACGGAGGGATAACTGAACAAATTCTAAGAGCTCCACAACCTTGGAGAAGATAATAAGCGCACTTCACTAACAAAAAAAAAAAAAAATCTTGGACCTTTTTCTTGAGATTGTTTGAGTGTATTTGTTTTTACATTTATATTAAATTTACACTATACTTACATAAGAACATAAGAAAGAAGGAACACTGATGCGGGATTACCGGGTTATGCTAGGCAGGTCTTTCTCAAACCCCATCGACACCATGCCCAGCCTTTCTAGGGTAGGGTAGGTGCCTGAGCCCGAGCTTTCAGCGCAAAAGCCTGTCATTCCCAATAACCCCCGTGGGGCGGGGATGGTAGACCAAAGAGGCCTAGCTTCTCCCTACGAGAAGCTAGGTCTGGGGACAGTTGGTCCCAAAGATGAGGGGGTACTTGTGCCTCCTCCCATGGGAGACTTAGGTCTCAGACACTCCCTAGCCAGGGAGCCAAGGCCGAGCCACCACTTGGAAAAAGCCCGGGCCGGAGAAATACCGGCGAATCTTTAATAATAATAATAATTCTCAAACCCAAACCTACTACTAACAAAAATATTTGCCCACCCCACTCTTAATGCTACCCAAGGAATTAACTTTGATAACCCTCTTAACTCTTGTGCAAGTCTCACTCAAATCCAACCCTTCTCACTCATGTCCTTATCTAACCGATATTTGAAGCTACCCTAGGCTATAGCTTCAATGACCCTAATATGTAGACTGTTCCATCATCGACTACTCAGCTTCTAAGCCAGTGCTTTGCTATATCCTTCCTGAGTCTAAACTTATCCAAGCTGAATCCATTATTTAAATTTTTTCTTGAAGAGATATCCCCAGAACCTTATTATATCCTTTACTTATGTCCATCTTCCACCTAAACACTTTAATAATGTCTCGCATCATTCTACGTCTTATAAGAGAATGAAGAATAAGGGATCTCAATCTTTCTTTGTATGGAATATTTCTCATCAAATGAATGTTCACTAACGAAGTTAAATCCATTCTGTTATATGGGGACCCGAGCTGAGCTGCATAGTCTAAGCGAAACCTTAATATTGGTGAGTAGAGCTGTAGTACAACCTATTGACTCCAGTTGCTTATACTTGATATAAATCCCAGTAATCTGTTTACGTTATTACGTACGCTTAGGCATTGTTGTCTTATCTTCAGGTTGCTGCTTGCCATAACTCCTAAGTAATTTTCACATTCTACATACCATGTTTTATATTAAATATTTACTTAATGAGTACTATGGCTATTCACATTTCCGACCTTCAGGACTTTACATTTATCTACATTGAACTGCATCTACCACTTTTCTGACCACCACATGAGCTTGTTTAAATTCTGAAATTCAGTGGCATCTTCCTCAGAATCAATTAACCTGCCTGTTTTTGTATTGTCAGCAAATTGGTTCATATCACTTGTTATTCTCTCGTCAAGGTCATTAATGTATGCCTCACGAAATCGTGTTATGTTTTTTTTTCTATTAATGTATGTTATCGGGCCTGTAGATAAATGGTTCTAAAATTTATCCCTATGGAACGCCACTTGCGACTGATCCCCACGCAGATTTCACTCAGTTTGTGCAGGCTCTCTGCTTCCTGTTGATCAGTTACTCCTTGATCCTTAACAGGAGCTGCCACTTTCTTTTAACAGTTTTTTTTTTTGTGTTGTACTCTAGTAAAAGCTTTGCTAAAATCCAAATTGATAAAATGGAATTCTTTATCATGATCAACTGCCTCAAATGCTTTATTGAAAGTGAATTAGTCAGGCAGGACGTTACTGTGACACATGCATTACCATACTGAATCACAAAACTGAGACACAGGAACAAGAAACTACCTGATAGAGATAAAGGCAGTTGCATGGAATCCTTTATTTACGATGTTTCACCCACACCGTGGGTTTCATCATAGCACAAATAGATGTGCGGGTGAAACGTTTTCAATTAATGATTTATTATAACCGCATTTAGATGAAGTTGTACTGATGAGCAAACCTCTGAAGTTATTTTTCTCCCTGTTGATGGTGCTACGAATTCTTGTCATTTCCATATGTTTTATGATTTAGTGTTGTCGACCTTCGTATTTTTTTTTATTGTTCTGGGAATAAATTTGTTTATCCGAGGACAATATTTTTATCTTCTTGATTTTTAATAAGTGTAAACAGTACTCTGCAGTTTTATATTCCAGTTTTTGCATGATATTTAATGTTGGATCACAATTTGTTTCCTGTATTCTTCATGGCGCAAGCCTGTTCACGTCTTCTTTTTTTTTAATTTTCATTACAATGCGCTCATCTAGACTGAATTCTACTAGTGGGCTATATATGCTTTCACAATTTTTCATCTTTGTTCAAAATTTCTATCACTTGAATATCGACACTGTTTGTTGGAGTTTTATTTCTTCTGGTTTGTAGTGTTTATTTTAGCAAGAGTGCCAAGCCTCAAGTGTTTCCTTTTCTCCAAACTGATTAGTGATCCTCGAGAGCTGCTTCTTTTAGGACTTTTCATTATAGTTTCAGGTCGTTGCAGAGGTCGTGTCTTAGGTCCTTTTTCCTTGTGTGTGTGTGTGTGTGTGTGTACTCACCTAGTTGAGGTTGCGGGGGTCGAGTCCGAGCTCCTGGCCCCGCCTCTTCACTGATCGCTACTAGGTCACTCCCCTGAGCCGTGTGGGGTGTGGTGTGTGTGTGTGTGTGTGTGTGTGTGTGTGTGTGTTGTGTGTGTGTGTGTGTGTGTGTGTGTGTGTGTGTGTGTGTGTGTGTGTGTGTGGTGTGTTGTGGCGTGTGTTTGGTGTAAACACAACTCAAACCTACATTATGTTAATTCCTAACGTGATCAAAATGGCAAGGTAAAGAGAAAGTCAAAACCGGTTACAATTTATTAGCTATACTGCATATGTCAATCATCTGGCTTATAGACGCGTGTGATCCGAACTCTAGTCATTTTATTAAATGGCTTTTTAACTGTTCACTCGTGCAAACTTAGCAAACTTGAATAAAAGTGCGGTGAAGGGATATATAACCAATTAAATCTTGGTGCAATTTAAAATATTTGAATAACAAACTAAATTTAACCTCACAAAATACATAGGTAACGGAATTACTATTCAGTTAGAAGTTACGTGTAATTCTGCCTACACACAGCACTTCCATTAACAATTTTGATAAAATGTTTATAAAAATGTGAAAAAAAATCATTAAGAATAACTTATTACTATAAAAACAATAATTTAGTATTTTACACAAACTTTACCAGACGAGCATTTGCTGCAGCAGTTAATGTGGTATACATTGGTATACTATACTAACAGATTGGTGCAACAGTTAGGTATCTTTAGATACCTAACTGTTGCACATGTTAGATATCTTTAGATACCTAACTGTTGCACATGTTAGATATCTTTAGATACCTAACTGTTGCACATGTTAGATATCTTTAGATACCTAACTGTTGCACATGTGTTATACTTACTAACCTGCAGCAGTTATTTGGTTGATGTGAGCCTCAGGTGAGATGTTCGACACAATACTCACCCCTAGGTCCTTCTCCTTGAGTTAGATTTTCAGCTTTTGTCTCCCGAGCCTGCACTCCGTCTGCGATCTTCTTTGATCTTCCCCAAGTTTCATAACATTGCACTTGCTGGAGATTTCAGTTCTATTTAATTAATATAAATAAGTAATAAAATGACAAATATATAAATTGAATAATGACAGTTATGGCAATAATAATAATAAAAATTCAAGAATTAGACGCATGTGCAACAACTGTGTATCTATACGATGAACCTGTCGGTCTTATATGCCACTGATGTTATAATAACATGGCCAAAAAATAACAGTTAACTATATAGCAACGGTAATGAAGTAAAGACAGACTAATTATTATTGTAATGTTGACACTTAAGATTATAATAAAAATTACCCCCTAAAAAATACTGATAATTACACAGCAGCAACAAGGAAATCGACGACGATAAAGAAGAGAACAGTGACTGATTAAGGTTGTGACTCGGGCTCTAATTTCATTCAGTGTTAAAGGTCGCTCTCTACTTACTTTTACCTTTAATTTAATTAACGAAAAGCGCTAAACCCGTGTGAATAACTCAGCGCAATGAGTGGTGAAGGGTCGAACCTTCGTTCATTGAGAGTGATATATATATATATATATATATATATATATATATTATATATATATATATATATTATATATATATATATATATATATATATATACATATATATATAATATATATATAATATATATATATATATATATATATATATATATATATATATATATTATATAATAAGCTGGGATGCTTGAATGTGCGTGGATGTAGTGCTGATGTTATGAATGAAAAGAAGTTGGATGTCCTGGCCCTAAGCGAAACAAAGCTGAAGGGGATAGGGGAGTTTCGGTGGAGGGAAATAAATGGGATTAAATCTGGAGTATCTGAGAGAGTTAGAGCAAAGGAAGGGGTAGCAGTAATGTTGAAGGATCAGTTATGAAAGGAGAAAAGAAAATTTGAATGTGTAAATTCAAGAATTATGTGGATTAAAGTAAAGGTTTGATGCTAGAAGTGGGTCATAATAAGCGTGTATGCACCTGGAGAAGAGAGGAATGTAGAGGAGAGAGAGAGATTTTGGGAGA